CTTTTATCTAGCTCATGTATGCCTCCACGGATAGCGCTTGTGTACGGCGGTGGCCACACCACGGCAATAGTCTTGGCTTGAGGTTTGAACAACGCATCTACATCATAGTAACCCATAAGTGCTCCGTTCTTCTTCTAATTCAAGTCTGAGTCCGATGAAGAAGCTCAGCACAGTGCACGGTCTCTGTAGCATCGGCGAGGATCCTGAAATACTTTGGGTAAATTTTTAACTCAAAAAATTTCCCCGTTAGAGCCGTTAGGCTTTCAAGGGATTTTTTACGTCGCTTAGTGCAAAATTGAAACAGGGGTGTCCGATCTCGCTACCAAGAAACCAGGGGGAAGTCCAAGTCCACGTGAAAAAATCGCAGCCCTTACCGGGGATTGAACCCGAAACCTCTACCACTCAAGGCGAACACCATAGCTCGAGACCACGCAGACCCATTTGTCTTGGCTGACTGGCTAAAACTACATGAGTGAAGTGCGAGTCATGTCCGACTACACAAATGCCCATCCCTAGTACACTGAGACTGGGACTGTGAACAATGTGGAAGAATCTACAAAGATCAACGGTGTGTAACACGAAACAGCAGAGTGCATGAAACACACGAGGCGTGTTCAGGACACAATAGTGGCTATCGTGGGAGAGACTGGGACCTAACCTTGTCTCACCCTAAAGTTAGCAATTTTAAAAAAAAATTTAAAGTTAGCAATGTATTCACAGCGATAGAAACAGGAAACAGGCAATCCCACCTTGGCTCTCCCCTGGGGCTGCAATATAGCCAGGCCACAAATATGGCCTAATTGCTGAACGTGGTTTCTGGGACCTCTCCATGGGTGATCCTCATCCGCATGGTGGCACTTTGTGTCATTAGGTGTTTATTGCTTGTGTGATGTCCTAGTGGGGTAAAATGCACTACTACTACCCATATGGGACGCAATTTTTTGTAATTTTGAGAAGCACTCCCTGCATGAAGCTAAGGATCACAGACTGAAAAGAGGAAGGTCGTTGATGACACAAGCTGAAGATACAATTGGACATGTGTGCAGGCTTGATAAAATTGGGTGAGGAGAGGAGTGGGTCAAAGAGTCAAAGCAAGAATCAAGACTTGTGTAGGTTTCTAATCACTTTAGGTCACGAGTGTAGGGACTAGCCAGCAGGTGCTGCAGAATCAGAGGTTGAACAAATGATTCATGACAATCCTGCCCAGGTGATGTGATTATCTATACAGATGGTTATGCGCTGAGAGGTAGGTAGATGAAGTGCATGGGTTGTTCATAGCAAAAGTGAATTGACGTCGCTTAGGGCAACAAAGCCTGGCATATGATATTACAATGTCTAGTTTGAGAATTAAGGTGGAGGCAGTCACTGCTGCCTTCTGCTGAATTGAGAATCAGCTATACACACATGTCGTGATTGTAACTGACTCACAAAGTATGTTGAGATCGATGGAGACAGGCATGCTCTGTGCAAAGTGGCAGGCATCGCTTTAGCGGTCCTGGGTAGTTCACGTATTTTGGATATTTTTCAGGTCATGCTGGTGTGTTGGGAAATGAGCAGACAGACAGACTGGCCAGTTCTGCACACTTGGCGGGGAAATGATGTATGACAAGCTAGATGTTGTGAGTGCCCTCTGGGAGCAAAGTAACAGTGCTGAGGCAAAAACAGATCATTACTGTCTGAGGAGAATGGCGCTGCGGGGAGTTACCAGGGGATCTGGCCGACGCTCAACACTGAAGGGAAGGGTGAGACGGGTGTACAATCAGGCTGTTGCTGGTACCATCAGAATTGGAAATCTTCACTTGCTGCTGAAGAGGGGGACAGAGCACTTATGGGAGTGTCCCAAATGCTGTGATGTTGATTCTGAATTCAACATTTTCACCTGATGGTCAAACCATGTCATCTGTTGCTCTTTAATGAACTGTATGACTGGCTTCTGTCCAGTCCAAGCCTAATAATTTCTTGTTTTATCTCTTCTTGTTACACTAGCAGCTCATCTGATATATCTCATCTCTGTTGTTACCTGTTATCTGTCTCAAAATCCTAGCATAATGGTCCGACTCATACGTGCTCCCCCCTCCGATGTAACTGCCCTCTCTGTGTCTCCATGCTCTCCATATCCAGTAGGAGCTGACTGACATATCTTCTAGCTTTATCTCACAACCAATTTCTCACTTATAACAGGCAGTTCACTACATCTATTGATTTGTCTCAACATCTCTGGAACACAGCGCATTCGGTATGTCTGCCCTTCCCCAACTTCTGCACACATGGCTCTTTCTCTTTGCTATTTCATTTCCTTTCACCCTAGTGTGAACTGGTGTGTTCATGCTCATCAGTTGTAGTGGGAATCCATGTTTGAAACAATTAATTGCACAAAATATTTTGATGTGACTTCTTCTTCTTCTTCATTATTCCGAGCCACTTCCATTCATCTCTGTGGCTGGTCTTTTCTGTCCAGTTGGTGAAACCAAGTGTTTGTTGTCTGCCTGGTTATTACTTATCCATCATCTTCTTGGTCTGTCTTGTGGTCTACGACCATTCAGCTCGCTTGTGATGTTACAGTGTATCAAATAAAACCATAACACAAAGCTAGTTACATTTGAAGATAATCAAGGTGGAAATCATGCAACAAAGAACAAAAAATCAAATTTACAGAATTTATTTCTTCCAGTTAAACGAAGCACTCATGACTTGAATAAATTACACAATATCTCTCTACAATCTCTGCTTAAATACGATCGGCCATTCATCATCATGTGCCACGCCAAGAAGCATAAGCTGACATGTGTCGCCATCTCACACAATCACCAGAATCAAGCAACAGGTCACTGTTCTTGCCTGGGCCCATCCATAAGGCCGAGCCATCCAGATATTCATCCTTGGGTTTTGTTCCCATCAATTTTGCCTGTCGTCACCAAGTTCTCGAGACTATGTCTAAATTCTCAAATCAGATTAGTTTTCCTCTGTCACCGTCTCCAGAAAAACTGCCTAGTCTGTTTTTCTACCATTCCATGAAACAGGAGAACCTTGATTGCCTGACCAGCGATGATCCTGTCTAGTCAATGCAGACTCAAAGCCAAGAACTTTGGACCATCACAAGAGTGTCTGGACACTCCGCTACCATGGTTTCCCTAGTAAAACGCGAAGTAAAAGACCGTCTTCCTCGCCTTCGGGCGTACTGCGCATATAGGGCTTATATTTTACAGACTTGGGAGGGGGGGGGGAGGGTGGTCAACCTCACGTCAGCCACCTTTACTATCCAGGACTCTACCTTGTATCCATTTAAGGCTTGGTCGACATGGTAGCCGTTGTTATTTTTTGAAAATAATATGACTCTGAGAGAACCTGAATCCACCACCTTTGTATACACAGGTGAGCATATAGCCTATACATCATGGTGACTCCTGGTTTCCCTAGTGCCAACTGCTTTATGAAAAGTATGGATGTCTCAGGTGAGAAGATCCTGTCCTGAAAGCTGAGGTATTCTGACTACAGTAAACATCATGGATGGTGGCTGGGAGAGAACCATTTTACCATGGTGACTCCTGCTTTCCCAAGGTCCAACTGAGAGAACCTGAATCCACCACCTTTGTATACACAGGTGAGCATCTAGCCGATACATCATGGTGACTCCTGGTTCCCCTAGTGCCAACTGCTTTATAAAAAGTAAAGATGTCCCATGTGAGAAGATCCTGAAAGCTGAGGTATTTCAACCACAATAAACATCATAGATGGTGGCCTGAAGAAAACGGTTATGGAGGGTTCAAGTTTCTGGAAAAAAAAGGCAGAGGCCTACCTCCACGATGTGGACAGAAGACATTGAAGATGCTGTGACTATGACAGCACATAGGGCTAGAGAACTGGCTAGAGAAGGTGTAACTTTCAGGCATGCTGTGATGAGAGCGACAATCTGTAAAGGACCCACTGATTGATGATGCCCGATTTGAGAAGGGCATGAAAAGATTCCCTTTCTCCCAATATATTACACCCTAGCATCAGAATCGGTCACTGAACATCCTAGCTTTTAATCTGCCTGCAAGGTAATCTGCCCTATGTATTTGTTGGCCATTTGTGATTTTACTGGGCCATCTTACATTCACTAGTTTGCCACTGCTTTCTAAATGGTCACCTTTCCATACCATTTTCAAAACTAATGAAAGGCAGCTGGCTGCCAAATCGCCTCCATCTGAACTGAACAGAACATTTCATAATTATAAACCATGCTCACAATCTCTAAGCCACTGAAATCCATGCCAATCAATATACAAGTGTATGTTTATTCTCATGCAACTTTGCAACTCTGTCACAGTCCAAGAAGATTTGTAGGAAGTAAACAACTTCACTTCACTTAGTCGCTCCTCTTCTACCTTGGGGTGTAGAGGTTTGCCAGAGAGATCGCCAGACGTCTCTATCCGCAGTTTTCTTTCTGGCTTTGTTCCATTGGAAGTAAACAACACAAAATGCAAATTTTTTCATAATTAAATAAGAAAAAAACATGTAAGAAACACTCTTGAATGTCACAAACTCTTAAGAAAACATCTTTCAGAAACACAGGCCTATATGAAACCACAAACATGTGACAGGCTCCCATTTAGGAGCTCAGAATGATGCTTCCCACCATAAGGGCTTCTTAAATAAAGATTCCCTGCATGAAGGTTCCCCCCCCCACAAGATTCTCCACACCAGGGTCCCCCAAAATAGTATCCACGAGTCCCCCAAAAGAATTCCTACATGAGGTTCCCCTCAAAAGATTATCTATATGAGATTCCGCCCAAACATTCTCTATATCAAGGTCCCTTAAAGGAAGAATCCGTGCATGAGGGTCCCTAAACACGAGACTCCCCATATGAGAACCCCTCATAAGGTTCACAGACATCAGGAGCCTCCATAACTCAGTATCCCTCACACGAGTTTCTGCCAGACAGAAGCAATATATGAGAACCCCCAATATGACACAACACACACACACACACACACTACACTAAACAAGCCGGGTATACTCATACAGAAGCATCATCTGAGCTGACTTTGCCCTCCGTGCCCAGAGTTGGCGAAGGAGGTAACTGTGATGTGGAAGACGAAACATCTGTGGCGCCATCTAACTTCTGTTTCTTTTTGGCTCGCGTGTCAGCCAACACTTGCTCTATCGTACGCTGATCGCGCTTGTTTGTGCTCGGCACTGAGATAGAGAAAAACAAACACATCACGTATATTTTGGCTAAAGAAGTAAAGTAAAGGACCATTTCCCACGCCTTCAGGTGTACTGGGCATATAGGGCTAGACCTCTATTTTATAGATCAATCCACACTCAGTGGGTGATGTGGTCACTATCAAGCCGGCCACCTTTACTTCCCAGGACTATACCTGGTACCTATTTAAGGCTGGATCGGCTGGGATCATTTTTTTAAACAGTTCTGCACCGTCAGGACCCGAACCCATTGTCTTCTAATCTGTAGGTGAGCGTCTAGCCACAACATGACCCCCCCCCCCTCCCTCAACCAGGCACAACATTACTTGAGTTGAGCAAATGTGGTGTATAGTCTGCATTAGTGTAGAGTACAGATTAGTTTAGAATACTGGATTAGTGTAGAGTACGGATTAGTGTAGAGTACAGATTAGTGTAGAGTACGGATTAGTGTAGAGTACAGATTAGTGTAGAGTACGGATTAGTGTAGAGTACAGATTAGTGTAGAGTAGGTATTAGTGTAGAGTACAGATTAGTGTAGAGTAGGTATTAGTGTAGAGTACAGATTAGTGTAGAGTAGGTATTAGTGTAGAGTACAGATTAGTGTAGAGTAGGTATTAGTGTAGAGTACAGATTAGTGTAGAGTAGGTATTAGTGTAGAATACTGGATTAGTGTAGAGTACAGATTAGTGTAGAGTACAGATTAGTGTAGAGTACAGATTAGTGTAGAGTACAGATTAGTGTAGAGTACAGATTAGTGTAGAGTACAGATTAGTGTAGAGTAGGTATTAGTGTAGAGTACGGATTAGTGTAGAGCACAGATTAGTGTAGAGTAGGTATTAGTGTAGAATACTGGATTAGTGTAGAGTACAGATTAGTGTAGAGTACAGATTAGTGTAGAGTACAGATTAGTGTAGAGTACAGATTAGTGTAGAGTAGGTATTAGTGTAGAGTACAGATTAGTGTAGAGTACAGATTAGTGTAGAGTACAGATTAGTGTAGAGTACAGATTAGTGTAGAGTAGATTAGTGTAGAGTATGGATTAGTGTAGAGTACAGATTAGTGTAGAGTACAGATTAGTGTAGAGTAAGGATTAGTGTAGAGTACGGATTAGTGTAGAGGGATCAGTGTAGAGTACGGATTAGTGTAGAGCACATATTAGTGTAGAGTAGGTATTAGTGTAGAGCACAGATTAGTGTAGAGTAGGTATTAGTGTAGAATACTGGATTAGTGTAGAGCACAGATTAGTGTAGAGCACAGATTAGTGTAGAGTACAGATTAGTGTAGAGTACAGATTAGTTTAGAATACTGGATTAGTGTAGAGTACGGATTAGTGTAGAGTATGGATTAGTGTAGAGTACAGATTAGTGAAGAGTATGGATTAGTGTAGAGTATGGATTAGATCAACTGATATAAGAATCGAGAGAGCAATATACCAGGTATACCCATAATGCTCCATTTCCCGCAGCAAATGCCCTAACCCTTCCACCCTTTAAATGCGGGTTTAGTGACTTGTCATGTTTTTCTCTTCATTTCCCTCAGCACTACAACTGTGGACAGCGATGCTATTCCAGAGATAGAGTAACAGACCCATAGATACCCCATCTCCAGCAGCAAATGTCTCAACCCTTCCACCCTTTAAATGCAAAATAAGCAAGTTAAACCTAGTTTTATGTATGCGTGCATGTGTGTGTGTGTCTCTCTCTCTTTTTGTATTACAACTTTGGGCAGTCACTACTTCACCTATACATTAGGTCTGCTATTATATATTTAATAAACAAACAATGTATTAACTGGCACTCATAGAAAGAAGTAGAAAGATAGAATGAGACACAAGACAACATAAAAATCTAAAGATATAGTTAACGTTATTGTAGTTTCTGATTTCTGTGTTGTCTACTGTGTCATTCTGTCAAACATTTGGAAGTCAAGATCACTCAGCAACAACACGAAACTTAAGGTCTTCAATTCCTGTGTGATCCCAGTGCTAACTTTGGTTGTGAGAGTTGGTTTTGAAATGGAATCAGTATCAATCGATAAGAAACTAGTCGCTTTCGAGAATAGATGCCTCCGAAAGCTATTGAATGTTCACTGGTCGGACTTTAGGTCCAATACATCTATAAGATATGAAACAAAACCAAAAATATGTGTGTCCGATTTTATTAGAATGCGTCGCTGGAATTACATCGGTCACGTACTCAGAATGGACATACAGAGACTCCCCACCAGAAGCCTTCATATGTCTCACCAGAGAGGGTTAAAGAAAACAGGGAACTTACCAAAAGCCAAACTCTCTGTAGAAACCATCACAAGGGAGAGCTCAACCATAGGTCTCAGTCGCACTCAAGACCTACATCAAGTGGCAACGCTGCCGACTGCTGCGAGGGGAAAGCTATGACCTCTGCCCTATGCGCCATCTTTGGCACAAGAGGAATAACTAACTAACTAACTACTGTGTCATTCATCTTTCTACGAGTGTTGATGAATACATTATCTGTTTGTTTATTAAACATATATTTCTACGGCCTCAAGGGTTCCCCCTCTATTTAAGTGAAATCAGGTTTGGTTTTGTGTGCGAATGGGTAATTTTGAGATATAGTGTTTAGCATCTCTACCAATTGCCTTTGTAGCTTACAAATCTGCTTCTTTAAGTAATTTCTCCAATGCTGTTCTTGATCTATTGTGCGGTCTCCTTCTTGCCTCATGCTCAGCAAGGCTCTCTGTGTAAGTTGGTACCAAGGCATTCTTATCAGATGGCCAAGCCAACAGAAGCTTTAATTGTCTACACAGAGATACCCATTAAATAATCTTCCCAAATAACTTACCAAAGCCGTAGGATGAGTTAGAAACCATCTCTCGGGCTGCCTCCTTGGCCGATGTGTCTCCAATCAGGTGCTTATATTTGTCCCTGTAGTTGGAAGCTGCCGTCTGCTGCGAGGGGTTCTGCAGTCTCTCCCTCTCCAGCTTCTCCTCCAGCTCCTTGGAGGAATATAAAGAGATTTTATTTTAACGGAAGACCTTAATAAGATAGCTAAGGCAATGATCAAATGGGCCTCAACTTAAATAATGGGAAAACAAGTAATGGTAATATCAAAGAAATGAATAGTGTCTTAATGTATCAAAGTGCAAGCATTCATTTTAGAGTCGGTTGAAAGCACACCAGGTCAGTATGACTAGGCACACGGACATCAACTATCCGACCTGGACAGATGTAGCATAAATTTATATAGAACACTAATAAGACAGGCTAAAACTACATTTTATAAAATAAAGAACATTTTATGCAATAAATCCATATAACTTGAGATTAGAAAAAAATAATTCCCTCCTGCTATATGGAGTCTGCTTTGAATACATGGCTGTGAATCCTGGACACTTAATAAACAAACCAAACAAGTTCTTGAGGCCTCGAAAAAGTGATTTTATAGAATCAAGCACACCTAGACAATTCCTTAGGACAGCTAATAAAGAGCAACCAGCATACCTCAAACAGGCAGTTGCTCGATGACAATTAACAGCACACAGACATGAGAAGGTCATGTTACGAGAAGAAGGAAACTTAAACATGTTGTAACCACTGAAAACTAGTTATCTAGGACACCTGGACAGTCAACTAGCACATCTGGACAGTCAACTAGCACACCTGGACAGTTAACTAGCACACCTGGACAGTTAACTAGCACACCTGGACAGTCAACTAGCACACCTGGACAGTCAACTAGCACACCTGGACAGTTAACTAGCACATCTGGACAGTCAACGAGCACACCTGGACAGTCAGTTAGCATATTTATACAATCAACGAGCACACCTGGACAGTCAGTTAGCATATTTATACAATCAACGAGCACACCTGGACAGTCAGTTAGCATATTTATACAATCAATGAGCACACCTGGACAGTCAGGTAGCACACCTGGACAGTCAGCATATTTATAGTCAACAAACACACCTTCTGTTTTGAGAGCTCCTTAGCCTTTTCAGGGTCCCACTCCTCTCCTTTGCGGTAAGCAAGGACCTCCTCGTCAGACGGAGCAAACTCCTGCAGGAACAAAATGTACCCCACACACACACATTAAAAAATTATTAAAACATGTGAACAAGCGATCATGGACAAATTAATTTTAAAATGTAGTAATGGATAAAAGCGGGTAATAAAATGATGTGAAAGTGTAGTTACGGATAACAAAGTGAATAACTAATATTAAATTAAAGACACATAGTTAAGAAAAGAAAGTTAAAGTCTCGAAGACGGACTTCATTGCAATGGATTATATCTCACATGGCATGAACTCTCTCCTCTCTCTCTCTCTACAGAGCAGGGATCTCAGGAAAAAATTGTACCTATGAACTGAGCGACTTTTCTTCTATTTTTGTTCTGGTCTCACTGTTACCAGGTTGTAGCCCAGTGACGTGGTTTTCTGTATTTGTCTTGTGTTTCTCAGGTGACCTAAACGATGCATCCGTAAAATGAACTCTGACCTTGAGAGCCCAAAACAAACAGCTTGACCACTCCAACACAGAGACCTAAGAAAGATGAGATCCAACAAGATGATGGTGAAACTGCTCTATCATCTACACTACAAAAACACCATTGGGATGGGAAGGAAGAGTGCAAACACTCCAACACAGAGACCTAAGAAAGATGAGATCCAACAAGATGATGGTGAAACTGCCCCATCATCTCCACTGCAAAAACACCTTTGGGATGAAAAGGAAGGGAGCAACTTTTATAACCATTTACGTTCCGCCTGGTCTGCTGAAAATTTTAACACAATGATGGTCTGTATTCCGTGTGTGCTGTGGTCTGTGTGTGCATACGTACATGTGTGTGCGCACAGGCATTTGTGTGTGTGTGTGTGCGGGCGCTTTTACATCCTGGTTTCTTGCTTGTGTTTTAAACTGAGGATTTTAACACGGTGATTCTTTTTTGTTTTATCCTGGTGTATGGATTCCTGAATTTTCAGTATGTCCTCTCTCTTTTGTTTGTAACTGTATCATTCTCCATTTGTGCCGCACACTTATGAAGGCTCTGTGGCTGCAATGTTCATTTGCCATTTTGTGATTGTGACACGGTGTAGCTGACGAGTTCTACTTTCTGTTAGGACTGATATTTTTACATCTGCTTATTAGGAAATGGGTGATCTGAATGCTAAGATAGGATCAGATAACACAGGTTATGCGTAGATTATAGGAAGACATGGTCTAGGAGTAATGAATGAAAATGGAGAAATTATTCATAAATTTGTGTGCAGGAAACCAGTATGTTATTGGTGGAAGTATTTTTCCCCATAAAAGAATACATAAAGCAACATGGGAATCACCAGACCATAAGATAACCAATCAAACTGATTACCTATGTATTAACAAAAAGTTTAGATCATCCCTTTATGATGTTAGGGCTTTCAGAGGTGCTGATGTATTTACTGATATTTTCTAGTGGTCAGTAAAATCAAGTTGAAACTTAAAAGATACATAACATCTTATAATCACAGAAACCAGTAAATGTAGGTTTTCTCAGGGATAAAGAAGCTAAGGAAAAATTTTCAGTAACAGTCTCTAATAAGTACCAGGATAAAGGTAATTAAATGGTATGATAGAATCCCTAATGTAGAGCTTTGGGAGAGAACTAAGCAAGCTCCAGTGGGCCAAGAGGTGAAAAAAAGATGCTAGCATTAGATAGGACACACATTGAGAAAACCGGAGAACAATATAACTAGAATGTCTGTGCATTAGAACCCACAGGGGCATAGGAATAAAGAAAGGCCAAAAAAACACATGGATAAAGGAGCTGGAGAATGAAGTTAGAAAGATTGGGTGGAAATGGGGAAAGCTGCATGCGATAGCAAAGGAAAGAACTTAGCATGTGTTGGTTGAGGGATTATGCTCCATTAGGGGCTAGAAAGGCAGAAGAGAAGAGAATTAGGACATTTCTGTTTTTCAATTATTTGTAACTTAACAAAGACTTCAAAACATTCATTTTTTGTATCAGTTTGTGTCACTAATTTTTTCAAGATTTATGATTACATTTCATGCTCTTTTAATTTTAATATTAGCTGGATTTCACTCGCCCTAATCTTCACTGGAAGTGCTACACATCATGGGCATGCCTGGACAGTTAGCATGTTTATACTGTCAACAGAGCACACCTGGACAGTCAATAAGCACACCTGGACAGTGAGCATATTTATAGTCAACAAACACATCTTCTGTTTTGAGAGCTCCTTAGCCTTTTCAGGGCCCCACTCCTCGCCTTTGCGACCCCTAAACAGTCAAATAGTACATCTGGTCAGTCAACTAGGACACCTGGTCAGTCAACTAGCACACCTGGTCAGTCAACTAGGACACCTGGTCAGTCAACTAGGACACCTGGACAGTCAACTAGCACACCTGGACAGTCAACTAGCACACCTGGTCAGTCAACTAGGACACCTGGTCAGTCAACTAGCACACCTGGTCAGTCAACTAGCACACCTGGACAGTCAACTAGGACACCTGGTCAGTCAACTAGGACACCTGGTCAGTCAACTAGGACACCTGGTCAGTCAACTAGGACACCTGGTCAGTCAACTAGCACACCTGGTCAGTCAACTAGCACACCTGGTCAGTCAACTAGGACACCTGGTCAGTCAACTAGGACACCTGGTCAGTCAACTAGGACACCTGGTCAGTCAACTAGCACACCTGGTCAGTCAACTAGCACACCTGGTCAGTCAACTAGCACACCTGGTCAGTCAACTAGGACACCTGGTCAGTCAACTAGCACACCTGGTCAGTCAACTAGCACACCTGGTCAGTCAACTAGCACACCTGGTCAGTCAACTAGCACACCTGGTCAGTCAACTAGCACACCCTGGTCAGTCAACTAGCACACCTGGTCAGTCAACTAGCACACCTGGTCAGTCAACTAGCACACCTGGTCAGTCAACTAGCACACCTGGTCAGTCAACTAGCACACCTGGTCAGTCAACTAGCACACCTGGTCAGTCAACTAGGACACCTGGTCAGTCAACTAGGACACCTGGTCAGTCAACTAGGACACCTGGTCAGTCAACTAGGACACCTGGACAGTCAACTAGGACACCTGGTCAGTCAACTAGGACACCTGGTCAGTCAACTAGCACACCTGGACAGTCAACTAGCACACCTGGACAGTCAACTAGGACACCTGGTCAGTCAACTAGCACACCTGGTCAGTCAACTAGGACACCTGGTCAGTCAACTAGGACACCTGGTCAGTCAACTAGGACACCTGGTCAGTCAACTAGGACACCTGGTCAGTCAACTAGGACACCTGGTCAGTCAACTAGGACACCTGGTCAGTCAACTAGCACACCTGGTCAGTCAACTAGCACACCTGGTCAGTCAACTAGGACACCTGGTCAGTCAACTAGCACACCTGGACAGTCAACTAGCACACCTGGACAGTCAACTAGCACACCTGGACAGTCAACTAGCACACCTGGACAGTCAACTAGCACACCTGGTCAGTCAACTAGCACACCTGGACAGTCAACTAGGACACCTGGTCAGTCAACTAGGACACCTGGACAGTCAACTAGCACACCTGGACAGTCAACTAGGACACCTGGTCAGTCAACTAGGACACCTGGTCAGTCAACTAGCACACCTGGACAGTCAACTAGGACACCTGGTCAGTCAACTAGGACACCTGGTCAGTCAACTAGGACACCTGGACAGTCAACTAGCACACCTGGACAGTCAACTAGCACACCTGGACAGTCAACTAGCACACCTGGACAGTCAACTAGCACACCTGGACAGTCAACTAGCACACCTGGACAGTCAACTAGGACACCTGGTCAGTCAACTAGCACACCTGGACAGTCAACTAGCACACCTGGACAGTCAACTAGCACACCTGGACAGTCAGCAGTCCTCCCCTTTATACATCATGGGCACATCCGGGGCATGTATTTTTCAAACTGCCAACAAAGACACACTCTGGCCTCGTCCAACCTCAAAGAAGACAACGCTGTATGGTACACAGGCATATTTGGACTGCACGATAGCTTTCATAAAGGCTACCGATTCCTGATAAAAGTTTTATTACAGAAATACTGAAGAAAAATAAGGGCACAGTTATGAAACAAAACATGGCATATTTTAGAACGAAATCTGCCAAAGTCTGTTCGAACCTTTTTCCACAGCATAACATATCTGTCTTCTTCTTCCTGGCCGAAAGAGAAGGAAGTCAGCCCTGCGACTTCCGCCACTTCATGGCTGTGAAATTAAAAATAAAATGCATCAACATTCACAATTGAAGAAATTGTTTAAAAAAAAAAATTGTCAACACCACAATAAAATATTTCATCAGATTCCCAGAAATAATATTCATTTCATAACATATGATCATCAAGTGCCTTGGCGACTGGCATCACTGATCTACTTCTTCAAAACTTGTTTTCTCACCAACGAACACGCACCACACATTTCAGAAAGTTTATATCAGCCAAACTGGGGCCAAGCAGAGTCTAACCATAATGCAGTTTCTAATAAACCATATAAACACACTGGTTGGTAAAAGGAATCTTTTTCGCTAATCAGAATGAGACAGAATATGAACTCCTCACAACTTCTAATGATGGACAAAGACTAGGCGCTAACTCCCATATTCTTCAATAATCATCTAGTTATGACAACTTATTTGTCTTATAGACTGTAAGTAAAGTGAAAAATCCCTTTTTACGCCTTAGGTGCATCGGGCATATGGGAAGAGCACCCATATTTTTACAGACCAATCGTCACAAGGTGGGTAATGTGGTCAGCATTACGCCGGCCGTCTTTACTTTCCCAGGACATACATCCTGGTACCCATTTAAGGCTGGGTTCGACCTTTGACACCCCATACCATGATAAAAATCCACGCAGCCAGCAGTGGGTTTCGATGGTGGTACATTGGAATTATGAGTCGGACTGACAACACCTAAGCCACGGGCGCTGCGTTATAGACTGTAATAGGACTATTCGACTCAGGTGCCATAATGCTGGGCTGAGCTGATTCAAGAAATGACATCACAGCACACAAGGCATCCCCATCTTCAGCAGCCAGCACAGAGTTCTAATACCAATGGTACCAGTAGCAGTCTGATTATATGTCCGTCTTGCCTTTCATCTGAGCGTCAAGTATCGGCCAGATCCCCTCGTTACTCTTTGCTGCATCACTCTCACCAGACTGTGATGATCCATTTGCTCCTCCATATTGTACAGGTGCTCCCATAAGGTCTTGACCCTGTCTGCCTTGTCATGCATCAGTATTCCACCAGGTTGCGCACAGCCAGCCAGTCTGTCCGCCTTCATTGCCTAACACATCGACATGCCCTGGAGACAAGATCCAGGCAATGATCCTCAGCCAAAATGTTGAAAAACGGGAATCGTTACAGGCCTGAACCCCAGCATGGAAAGATCATGATTACAAGTTTGAGGTTTGAGGTTTTGAACAACAGATCAACATCATGGCACATGGGTAGTAAACCCATAAGTGCTCCGTTCTTCTAACTCAAGTCTAAGTCCGAAAAAACTCAGCACATTGCACAGGCTCTGTAGCACGGGCGAGGATCCTGGAATACATTGGGTAGATTTTCAACCCCAAATTTTGCCTGGGCAGCGCCGTTAGGCAACAATGCACACGGGCATCTGATCTCACTTCACAGAGACTAGGGGGAATAACGAGAAGTCCAAGTCCACTTGAAAAAATCCCAGCCCTTACCGGGGATTGAACCAGAACCTCTAGCACTCAAAGCAGACACCATGCCTCGAGACCACCCAGCACCCCCCCCCCCCCCCCCCCCCCATTTACTAGGCTTTTAAGGGCCCAGACTGAACCTGCAGGCTGCCGGTTGAACAGTCCTGGTCTTTACTGTGACATATTCTAGGTTTCTGTTTCGTCGTCGACTGTCAATCATTTCTGACACAAATAAGGTCAGGTGAGGCTGGTGCAGCAGTGAGTGACCCAGGGGATCTGGCAGACCTTCAACATTCCAGACGGACATGCAATCTGGTACCATCAAAACTGAAGATCTTCGTTGGCTGCCAAAGATGGGTATGGAGTACTTATGGGAAGGTTCTCAGCTCTGATAAAGATCTCTTCTTCATTGCTTCGCTACCCCCCCCCCTTTTCCCCACAAACACCGTGTTGTTTTTTTATTTCACCATGTGCACATCATTCATTAATAAAACCATATGGCTGCACCTCTCACAAATCTGCTGACTGTGAATGGTTCTTAGTCTTAGTCGAGGTTTCAACTTCCTTTAATCAATATGGTTTCCCCATATTTGCTCCGTTCCTGTGCCAGTGAAAATCAAATGAAAGGTCCCTTACTGTCGCATTTGAAAAACTGGTGAATAAACAATAAATCTCTGAACAATCCAGAAATATGTGCACCCAGTAAATGCAAATTTCAGTTGCCAGAAGCGCCACCAGATATGCAGTTTGTTGTTGATGGAAGAAGTCGGGCATGATAAGTTGGCTACTTTACAACACAGAATTATTACATAAAGTATTTCACCAGCTCACATGTAAACTGGCTACCGCCCATATTGAAATACGACTCGATTGGTCCACAAATGAAAGGCATTCCACATGAAAAAACACAGCTCACACGGCTGCACCAAGCATTAAATGCAGTATCAATGTCAGTTTCAATGATTCACTTCTAAGCACCATGACTGGCTCAATATAGCACTAAAAAACACAGCTCGAAGGGCTGCACCAAGCATTAAATGTAGTACCAGTGTAAGTGTCAATATCAGTGTCAATGATTCACTTCCATGCACCATGACTGGCTCAATATAGCGCTTTAAAACACAGCTCACAGGGCTGCACCAAGCATTAAATGTAGTATCAATGTTAGTGTCAATGATTCACTTCCATGTGCCACGACTGACTTGATATTTCGCTTAAAAACTCAGATCAAATGACAACAGTAAAACCTCAACGCAAATTCCAAAGAACTGAAAATCAAGTTTGCTAAAAATATTAAATGTGTGCTAATGAGGGACTAATAATAATAATTTATTCCTGCTGGGGCCAAATTGTGTTCATGTTAAATGAGAGTTTTTCTTAAGTTGCTTTTCTTCTTAATGAGGTTTTATTGTATTTAGCTCTGTTTTCAAATCAGTAGTGTTGTATGGAGCATAAACGTGGAACAAAACATAGAACATTATTCAATCTGTTGAAATACTCTGTTTGCTTGAGCTACTCTACATTCCAAATCTTTCATACAACTTCCACCAGCTGCTGTCAGGGCATCCAACCACACTTACTATCTACTGTCTTGCTTCAGAGGCCGCGGGAGTTAGCGCCCTTTGGATATATTTTCTCTAACTGATGCTGGTGTGTTAGGAAACAAGCAGGCAGATAGACTGGCCGGTTCTGCACCATTTGGTGGTGAATTGATATATAATAAGCTTTATGTTGTGAGGACCCATTGGAGACAAGTGAACAGTAAGGAGGTGCAAATAAATCATTACGGTCTGAGAAGAATGGCGCTGCGGGGAGTTACTAGGGGATCTGGCAGACGCTCAACACTCAAGGGAAAGGGGAGACGGATGTACAGTCAGACAATTACTGGTACCTTCAGAATTGAAAGCCTTCGCTTGCTGCGCTCGAAGATGGGGACGGAGCGCTTATGGGAGTTTTCCGAGTGCTATGATATGGATTCTAAGTTCAATTTGACTACCTACATCAAGACCAGTCCCAAGTTGCAAAAACAATTTTTTTTTAAAACAAAATCATGTCTCCAAAATGAAGGCTGGCTTCAGTGCACCCACTGCTATATTTTGGGGGATATTAAGTGGTGATTCCCCAATCTTTTCGACAGTGCAACTCTTCGTACTACTGTCCGAAAACCAAGAGAAAACGGTTTTCAACACACACACTTTGAGCCCTGGGACTTGAAGATCCCGAAACTATTTAAAAAAATTCATCAACCGCTAAGCCAGAGCGGCACACACAAGATTACAAGAACACACAAAACATACACGATTGCTCGAAGCACTTTCTCCATTGTCTCTAGCTTCAATTTCTGTTTTGTCCCATCCTTGATAAAGTCGTGTATTTGTTTCTGAATCTGAGGAGAGAAAACTGAGTCAAGATAAATCTGCGGGGACAGGATACTGAGTCAAGGCAAATCTGCAGGAGAGAAAACTGAGTCAAGATAAAATCTACAGGACAGAATGAGTCAAGGCAAATCTGCAGGAGAGAAAATTGAGTCAAGATAAACCTACAGGAGAGAAAATTGAGTCAAGATAAACCTACAGGAGAGAAAATTAAGTCAAGATAAATCTACATGAGAGAAAATTTAAAATCCAGTTAAAATCTACAGGAGAGAAAATTGACTAAGATAAATCTGCAGGACAGAACATTAAGTCAAGATAAATCTGCAGCAGAGAAAATTTGAGTCAAGATAAAATCTACAGGAAAAAAGTCTAATTTTTTCAAATCAGTTTATGACATTCATCCATGCTTAATAGAAATGCCTCATTTGTTTTTCTATCTTTCGGTAGACTGGACAAAACCCATCAAAAAATTCACTCATACACACAGAATGAAATGATTCAGCAACCTAATGACAATCAAGACAGAATGAAAAGGTTCAGCCACCTAATTAATGGATGCAATGATGCCAGCAGTGAGAACATACAATCTCAAAATGGAAACATCAAGAGGCAGAGGGAGACCTAGAATAATAGACCGAAGAAGTCACTGACAACCTAAGACTTCATAACAAACAAAGCATTCCTAAGTAAGCCCTAGTTCAGTTACTGATCATCTGTTGTTAACTGTGACACACACAAGGGCAGCTGCATGGTCTCGAGGCATGGTGTCCGCCTTGAGTGTTAGAGGTTCCCGGGTTCAATCCCTGGTAAGCGCTGGGATTTTTTCACGTGGACTTGGACTTCTAGTAGTCCCCTCTGGTCTCTGGGTAGTGAGATCGGAAGCCTGTGTGCATTGTTGCGCACGTAAAACATCCCTTGGCAGTTGGAAATCAAAAAAGGGTAGCCTAACGGCGCTGCCTGGGCAAAATGCTGAGTTAAAAATCTACCCAAAGTATTTCAGGATCCTCCCGGGTGCTACAGAGCCTGTGCACTGACTGTGCTGAGCTTCTTCGGACTCACACTTGAGTCAGAAGAAGAACGGAGCACTTACGGGTTACTACTCGTGTACCATGATGTTGATCCTTTGTTCAAACTTCAAAAAACCTGGTAGCATAAGAGGCATGCAGGTGTATTGAGAAATGAAAGGTAGATAGGCTGAGTGTTGCCGCACCACTGGGTGGTGAATGCATGCATGTCAAGCTAGATGTGGCCACGACCATGTGGGAGAATGTGAAAAATGCAAAAGCACAATAGAACCATAGGGTCCGGATAGAATGGTACAGCTAGGAGTGACAATAGGTTCTGACCGACACTCTACATTAAGAGGTAAGGCAGGAAGGACACACACTCAGGCTGCTACTGGCATTAACAGAACTGGAACTTTTCACTGAATGCTGAAGAACAGAGCAGTTATGGAAATGTCCAGAGGGCTGTGATGCCGGTTTTTAACTCAACTCACCCTAGTAGAATAAAAACAGATACTGACAAGAGAAGAAAGAATTCTGTAGTTGAGGACCTATTGGTTCTAAATTAGTTCTTCTTCCATCTTTATCCCTGTTGCTTGGAAAAGCCTCACAAATGGCTTTTCTGTCACTGCCACATTCCCATAAAGGCCTTGAAAACTGCCCATCTGCAGTGATCTGTTTGAGCTTAGTTTCATGTTATTGGTTCTTTTCAGGTCTGAGCTGTCTTTGATAGCCTAGAGGGAATTTCGGTTTTTTTTTTTTATTATTAATATCTTGCCCTAGATGACGTCACAGAACAGTCCAATATTTTAGAGGGTGGTAAGACTGCATTTCCCGACTTTCTGATGCTTTTAATGACCCCAAAACATCTAGAACTGGCCCTAACCCCAACCCACCTATGTCCCACGAGAGAGTGCAGCCCAGGTGCCACGAGTGCATGCAGCCTAGGTTCCCACGACTGCATGCAGCCTATCTACCATCCCCTGAAATATTAGACTGTCCCATGACCTGTGGATTTCCCCTGCTTGGGGTAGGATACTAATAAAGCACCAGAGTTTTCTTGTGAACGGAATGGTTTTTTTCAAAAGCCCTGTTGATATCAAACTGTTCCTACAGCTTCAGTGTTAAAGGTCAACTGGTTGAGTCACCCGATACATGTAGGTTTTTTTTTTTTTAAGGGCCTGGGAAATGTATTTTACTGAATGCATTCCAAGCCCTTGAGGCCATTGCTGCAAAAATCATCTGCCTCCATTCATCTCTCTGGTTGGCGCTCTCTTTCCAGTTGGTGACACCAAGTGTTTGCAGGTCTACCTGGATATTATCTCTCCATCATCTTCTTGGTCTGCATCGTGGTCTATGACCATTTATCTCCCTGGTGTATACAGTTTGTTACTTCTCTGTCATCTGACATTCTTTCAATATGCCCCAACCATTTAAGTCTATTAGCTCGCATGATGCCAGTGAAAACGGTGATTTAAACAGATTTTGAATTTCGTTATTGCTTCTCACTCTCCATTCCCCTCTGTTTACATCTTTGATGGATCCAAAGACTCTATTTTTGAAAACCTGTAATAAGGCTTCATCTCTTTTAGTTGTGCTCCAAGTTTCAGAGCCATAAAATACGACTGGTCTAATCAACATTTTATATATTCTGATCTTGATGTTGCGAGACAAGACACTTTGACTTTAGCAGATGTTGAAGGGTATAGTATACTTAATTTCCAGATTGTATTCTAGATTGTATTTCTTCTCTCAGCATGTTGGAGCAGTTTAAGTTTGCACCCAAGTACTTATATGTCGTTCGTTTCGATTTTCTTATTATCGACATGTATGTGGCCGGAGTTTATATCCTTTCCCTGTCTAGTTATTATCATGTATTCTGTCTTATCTTGATTGATAACTAGTCCCATTTTCTGAGCTGATTCTTTTAAGACAGTGAGTGTTTTAACAGTCTCTGGTTCATTTTCTCCAACAATATCAATGTCATCAACATAACCAAGTATTCTTGTAGTTTCTCCTATAGTACACTCTTGTTTCAATTTCCTTATAATTTTCTCCACGAGCAAGTTGAATAGAAGCATCATCTTGCTTTAAACCAGATGTTATCAAAAAATGGTCTGACTTTCTGCCTTTATAAACTACTATATCACAAGTGTCTTCTATACACAGTTTAAAATCCACAAAAACATTATGTACACTTTTTCTATATTCCAATATCTCTGCTATTTGCTGTAAAGTGAATACTTGATCTATTGTTGATTTGTTCTGTCGGAAACCCGCTTGGTTATCTCCCAATATGTCTTCGACGTATGGTTTTAACCTGTTTAGCAGTACCGCCGATAGTATCTTATAGCTTGTAGGTAATATTGATATTCCTCTATAATTTGCACACTTTTACTTGTCTCCTTTCTATAAAAATGGGTTTTAATAAAGACATTTTCCATTCATGGGGTAATTTCTCCGTCTTCCAAATGATTCGTTGTTCTGATGGTTAGCTTCCATATCCATGACAATGTTGTTCATGTATACTCACTTTTGGTGCCTAACTACTTTTGATTCTTCTTCTTCTTCTTCTTCGCGTTCACCAGCTGTACACTCTGGCGTAAAGTTCTGGTTGTTCGTCCACTTCTGGACTACAGTTCTGCTCCAGAACCTGAGTGTTGCATGTGCATCAGTTTTACAGATCTGATTCAATTGAATGCAGACTGCTGGTTCCTTGCCTCTCAGGCAGATGCACTCCGACTTCAAAGGAAGCTCCCCAGTTAGTCGACTCTTACGACATGCTTTTGGGGAGGCAGTGGGTCTATTCTTGTTTTCCCTACAATAGGGCCCCGGAACCCACACGGGGGACTACTTTTGATTGATTATTCCCCTTATATATCTTAATTTTATTTCAATGATTGCTTCCTTACAATCAATTCCTTTTATGTATCTTTACTTATTTCCAAAACAAATTTTGTATGTAGATAAATTTTTAAATTATGTGTAGTAATCTGTGTAAAACGTTGTAACATATTTTTTATTTCAAGAATCCCCGCCCCCTTTTTTTTTTAGCATTCTTAGGTAAAAGGGTTAATCTCCCAATGAAGCATAGGCCCTCAACTAACAACTCATACTAAGACATCTGAACCCTAGTTCATGATCAATCAGATTCTGCAACAACACCCCAATGCTCATAAGTAATCTCTCATGACATTCATGGTAGGTAACCTTGTTTCTTTTCTTCTGCATTAACCCTTAAAAGGCTGGTTGGCATGCTGTGTTTTGATTTACAGCCTGGCTGTAATATATCTCCACCTTTTGATTCTAAAAGATTGCTGAAGGTTGAGATGCTCAGTCTGTGGGGATGTGGAAAGCAAGGGGAGACTACCACATTATATATCCCAAAAACTCAACATGGAAACCATTGATCAAGAAGAGAAAAAAAAACAATGACACTCTAAACAAGTTGAACATCAAGGAGAACTGGCTCATAAACAGCACCCTGTCCCGAAAGTTGAAGTATTTTGGCCACATCAAGCGTCATGGTGGCTTGGAAAAGACGGTGATGGATGGTGCAGTTTGTGGAGGAGAGGCAGGGGTCAACCACCGCGAAGATGGATACAGGACATTGAAGATGCATTGGCATTGAAAGCACATGGGGCCAGAGAGCTGGCTAGGGAAAGGGATACTTTCAAGCGTAATGTGAAGAGACCAAGGTTCTGTAAAGAACTTGCTGACTGATGATTTTATTTTTTTTTGGTCATCTTCTTCTTGTAATTCTGGTCTTGTTCCAGAACCTGAATTTTGCCTGCACATCTGTTTTACATATCTGCTGTTTTTATGCAGACTGTTAGTTCTTTGCCTCCTAGGCAGATGCGCTCTGACTTCGGAAGTAAAGTCTAGAAGCTTAGCTCCCCAGGTTTCGGTGCCCCTGCTAAGGAAGACCCAACCCACTGTGTTGACTGGCAAGGGAACTAACTACTATGCCACCACTGATAGGGAGGATATGAAATGTAAAATGGAACGTAAACAATTGCTATCAGTACCTGCTGCCGAAAGGTGTCAAGCTTTTTCTTTTCTGCTTCTTGTTGCTTTTCTAGAATAGCTTTTTGAACTGTGAAAAGAAAATACCACTAAAAATCACTGAGAAACACTAAAACAATTACAAATAAACAACAAACATTCATTAACCACTGCCTTAATCAATCAATCAGGTGCGCCTCCACAATGAAGGTTGGCTGCAATGGATCTCCAACATGCTCCTATCCCTTGTCTTGGTTGTAAACTTTTTAAGACTGCTAGTCGTCCATCTCCTGATGTTGCCCTCCCACTTGCTCTTGCTCACTTGCCCTCAACTTTTCTCTCCAGTACGGTTTTTAAAAGAGTGTTATGTCTTTTTAATATGGGCAAAATATTTCAACTGTCTCTCTTTTTTTAAATTTATTTTAGTAACTCTCTTCTCACTAACAGTCTCTCAAGAACCTCTGTATTTGATCTGTTTATGTTTCCTATGATACGACCTACTCCTCTGTATATCCACATTTTCCCTGTGTAGATTTTGGGGGCCCCATGGTGGTGGGGGGGAGGGGGGGGGGATAAGAACAGACCCACTGCCTGCCCAAAAGCTTGTCAAAGAGTCAACTAAATGGGAGCTTCCTTCGAAGTCGGAGTACACCTGCCTGAGTCAAGGAACCAACAATCTGCATACAAGTGAGTCAGAGCTGTAAAACGGATGTGCATGCACACTCAGTTTCTGGAACAGGACTACAGTCCAGAAATAGACGAAAACCAGAAATTTCTGCCGGATGAAAGCCGGTGAACACGAAGAAGAAGAAGATACATTTCTAGCTGCTTATTCATTGTTCTCAAGTTTCTGCACCATACAGCAGGGTTGAGTATACATAACATGTGATTATTCTCAGGTTCTTTTACTATTATATAAGTTCTCTTAGAATAATCAAAGTAAGTTTAGGCATAAAAATAAGATCACTACTTCTGGTTGAACTATCAGTATCATTCTGTCAATTGACACTACTACTATTCTAGCCTACATTGCATGGCCACATTCTTTCCAATTGTCAAGACCGTCCATTCTGTAGCATTTCAGGTCAAACTTGAATTGCAGCAGCCCTGTGTGAACAACTGATTGCCCTTTTGCCCAGGCTCTGAGTGGTCTGAACTATGTAGCATTGCACCTGGCCTCACACAGGGTTCCGCCATTTCCCCGGTGCTTTTGAATGTTGAATAAAGAATTAGGAATCAACATCACAGCACTCGGGACACTCCCATAAGTACTCAGTCCCCCATCTTCAGCAGCAAGCGAAGAGTTCCAATTCCGATGACACCAGAAACCGTCTGTTTGTATATCCGTCTCATCCTTCCCCTGAGTGTTGAGCATGGGCTAGATACCCTGGTAACTCCTCGCAGCGTTCTCCTTAGACCGTAATGATCTGTCTGCGCCTTCTCACTGTTCACTTGCTCCCAAAGGGCCCTCACAATATCGAAATTTTCAATGTATACACAAGCAGGAAAGTGGCAATAGAGACAGTGGGTGTAGGGAAATTTTGACTTTTGCAGGCAATGTCTTAGTCTACACAGAGGGGAGAAATAGAATAGAAATATTTAGAGAACTTCAGTTCATGGCAGATAAGTTGGTGAGAAAACAGGCTCAGTCATCAAACCAGATAAGGCAGGATTGTGGCAATAGAGACAGTGGGTGAAGGGAAATTTTGACTTTTATGGGTGATGTCTTAGTCTACACACAGGGGAGAAATAGAACAGAAATATCTGGAGAACTTCAGTTAACTGTAGATAAAGCTGGTGAGTGGTGTGAGGAAACAGGCTGGTCATCAACCCAGACAAGGCAGCAGTACTCTGGTCTTTTTTAAGTAGGTTTCAATAATATTGTTAAGGTTTAAATAATAGAGTTGTTAGAGATGTGTTGCGGGATATCACAATAAATGGCAGTAACATGAAGAGATATAATTCACTAAAATACCTAGGTATTACTTTTGACCGAAGTCTCTCATTTAAATACCATGTCGAAGAGGTAGTTTTAGGGAAAGGACTCAATGCTTTGAAGGTGATAGTATCGGGGAACATGGAACAGAAAATCGGCTCTCCTCTAAACTTCTACCCCTGCGAAACAAATACCCTAACAGGGCCTCAGTCCTATGAAAAATGCGCAACTTCCTGCGACAAACAAATTGCGGCAAAACTATGATTACCTGTAAATTTCAAGAGAGGCAACACTGCAGACGATAGTAGCAGACGATAATAGCGACCATTGACAATTTCAAGACTCGCAACATTACAGATGATAAAAGCAACATGGCGGGGATACGACGCAGATTAGCGATACTGTTCTTCCGATTGAGGATTTAGCAATGGTATAAGTGAGACCTGTGATTTGAATCGAGTAATGACCAATAAACTGATCTGGTTGCAATGGCTAATACGCAACACGCAGGTATGTTCTTACTGCCAGGGTGCTATGTCGTTGGCAGCGCGGCAGGTGGCTTCTGACAGATACTCGTGGCGCTGTAGTACTGAGTGTACTGTGCGCACTGGCTTGTTCTTTGCCGGCTGCAACATATCAACTGAGAACATAATCATGATGATGTTTTACTAGCTCTTTGATTAAACTCACTGCCGACAGTATTCCCCGCGCCAGCTATGCAGCGTATTTGTTAGAGCCTTTGTTTCGTTATTCAGCGGATCCTAGTTTTGCAGTGATTTGAGGCCCTGTTAGGGTATTTGTGTGGCTGCCATATTGCCCGGGTAGAAGTTTGGAAGCCGAAGTCCAAAATAGATGGAGTAGACTGCTAACATTACATGCATAGGGAATGAAATATAAAATGAAGCCATGTGAGTAATTTGGAGATGTACACGAAACACACACATTTAGTCATTATATATACTATTGTCACCATAGTCACGCAGCACATTCCGTATATAACTATATCATTTTACGTGCCTTAAATGTTTATTTTGTCTAGTTTATCCTCTCAAATCCCTGTGCATCTATGTTACTTTCTTTATCGCGATGTTTTGATAGCCCTGGGATTTCTTGAGATTTCTATGTCTGTATATTATATTATTTTCTGTCGGCTCTGTGGCTAAGTCGATGCGAACGCTTCGTAATGCCGAGATGCCGGGTTCGACCCTAGCTGCCGGCCATGCGCCTTACGTTGGTTTCGACAGTGGTATCAAGAAAGCCGAACGTCCAGAAAGCAATAGCAAGCTACTGGACGTAAATTTGCCTAAAAAAACCACACAACAGCCAGGGGATGTTGGGGTTGGTTCTGCAACGTCCTGTAAAGGATACGCAACTAACCTAAATATTATAAGAGCGAAACCCGAACCGAAAGAATTCAAGTACGAAGCTGGTGGACAGTTAAGACAAGTCACATTATTGCTTGCAAAAAGGAAATGATTTCTTAATTAACTTTACAAAGAAACAGTGTGGTGATATAAGGAAAGAAAGTTTGAGAAAATGCGTCTTACGCTTGGCTTTTTTCCGTTCGTCTGTGCCCACGGACGGAGGTTTCTCCATGGATCCCAAGATTGACCCCAGCAAGTCCGCCATGACTGTAACAATGACGGAGTGTTCAATGCCTCTTTATTAATTGTGTGTGCATCCTTAATCAACATAAATCTCTATATAAAATTTACATTTTTATAACCATAATTTAGTTAATTAAAATTATTGTTTTGCAATTTTTTGTATTATTTTATAGTAGTTGCTGTTTAAGTATGTTAAATTATTTATAGCAATGGCTAATCCCTCTGAACTGTTGTCACGTGATAACAACATTAGGGTCATGCTCGGTGATTTAAAAACTAGGAGTATTTTAAATTTTTGTTTCGTTAATCTTGTAAAACCGGCACCACGGCCATTCCTATTTTGTGCTGGGGAATCTCTATACGGTCACTGAAATTGCATCACAATTTATTTCTTAGAAATAAATTCACGCGTATTTTTAGTACTCATCATAAGAAAAGAAGAAAAACAATATCGGAGGTCACATATGACATCCTGGGTTTAGCATCCCTTGCTGACATTAGCATCCCTTCCTCTTCCGAAACATTCCATATTTCTCCACGATACGCTTTATGACATTTACACCCTTGTCCCTCAGTAACATACTTTGTTTTTTTTTATGACTTGCATTCTGACATCAGCTTCCGTGTTTCTCCATGAAATGCTGTTTATGTATGGCATGATGCCTGACATCAGCATCCCAGCCCCTCATGACATGATGCCTGACATCAGCATCCCTGCCCCTCATGACATGATGCCTGACATCAGCATCCCTGCCCCTCATGACATGATGCCTGACAACAGCATCCCAGCCCCTCATGGCATGATGCCTGACATCAGCATCCCAGCCCCTCAAAACATGATGCCTGGCAACAGCATCACAGCCCCTCATGAACATGATGCCCCCTGACATCATGCCACATCAGCCCTAGCCCCTCATGACATGATGCCTGACACCAGCCTCCTAGCCCCTCATGACATGATGCCTGACACCAGCCTCCTAGCCCATCATGACATGATGCCTGACATCAGCATCCTAGCCCCTCATGACATGATGCCTGACATCAGCATCCCAGCCCCTCATGACATGATGCCTGACATCAGCATCCCAGCCCCTCATGACATGATGCCTGACATCAGCATCACAGCCCCTCATAACATGATGCCTGACATCAGCATCCCTGCCCCTCATGACATGATGCCTGACATCAGCATCCTGCCCCTCATGACATGATGCCTGACATCAGCATTCCTGCCCCTCATGACATGATGCCTGACATCAGCATCCTAGCCCCTCATGACATGATGTCTGAAATCAGCGTTTGTGCGCCCCCCCCCCCTCCCCCAACCAACACAAATGACGTGCTACATTCCCAACCCCAACCTTCCATACTCAAATGGCGTGCTGTCTGGCATCATCATCCTCCATGATAAAATGCTCAACATCAGCATCCCTACTCCCCTCGCCCCTTCCAAATACCCAAACGACATCAACATCACTTCCCCTCGTTACATGATGCACGAAAGCATCCCCCTCCTCTATTTCCATTTCTCCAAAATATAAAGTAAGGACCCTTTTCCACGCCTTTAGGCGTATAGGGCATACAGGGCTAGACCTATATTTCATTGACCAATCGGCACAAGATGGGTGATGTGGTCACCAGCACACCGGCCGCCTTTACTTCCCAGGACTGCACCCGGTACCCACTCAAGGCTGGGTCAACCTGGAAGCCAAGGTCATTTTGAAAAATTCAGGCTCCGCCACGGAGCGAACCTACGACCTTCTGATCCGCGGCGAGTGTACTAGCCCTGCTCGGTGATTTTCCAACAGCAATTTTAACTATAAATGGCTGTCCATCAAATATTGTACGAAGATGACCGATAATAACAATATGATGACCATGAAGAGTGAGTGCGCGGTGACTGGATTAAAGTGAGGAAGAGTTGCGCAGTGTCGTCGACCTCACTCTCTCCGCTGCTGCTCCTGACAGATGGGAGGGATATGTCTAAGTGCAAAGGTCCTACGTGCCTGTGCGATGTGCTGTGTCGTCTTGCCCGTTAACCAAAATATGGTTTCCTCCACATATGCACCAGAAAGTAGTCCGACTACTGCTGGTACCATGGGATTTGGAACTCTACACTGCTGCTGAAGAGGGGGGAAAAGCGCTTATTGAAAGGTCCCGAGTGCTGTGATGTTCGTTCTTAACTTACCCAGAAAGACATTGCACTAGAACCCACAGGGGCAAAGAAAAAAATGCTGGTGGGGGGGGGGGTCCATGAAAAACAGAGTAAGAGATTTCAGGTGAAAAAGTGGGGAGCATAGGGCGAGACAATGGAGAAGAAAGACAGGATCGGATGACTTGCTACGAAACGGTTGGAACCTTGATTTCCACTGGGGGATGAACTCATATGATTTTTTTTTGTGGTGCGCAAGGTACACAGTATTCGCATTTTTTTTTTTTTTTTTTTGGGGGGGGGGGGGGGTGTGTTATTTTTTTTTTTAACTTTACGATGAGTATCATCATCTGTTGGTAGACACGTTTTATTGTGCACCGGAACCTATTCTTCTTGAGAGAGGAAAAAAAACCTACATAAAGGACAGGGTAGAGAAAGAAATAAGAAGTAAATGGTGTTTAGGGTCAAATATTTACAAACGGCTCTGGTGTGCGTACCTGTTATCTTAATCTTTAAATGTGCTTTCAGCCTATGAATGTCTATAACTAAAATTTTATCAATGTCCTCTTCATGTCGCCATACGGCATTCACATGTGATCTCCACTGCTGCTAAACTGCTACCTTCCTGACTACCATAACTATAATGCTTTGCATTCCTTTACTTCCCTTTCTACTGTCCTCTTCCAGGTTTCCTTGCGTCGTCCGCATCATCTTCTTTCATCTGTCGTCCATCAAATGGTAGAGAGGTAAAAACTGTACACACAAGGGAGCTGAATGCTACTCGTAGACCCCGAGGCAGATCAAGAAGACGATGGGGAGATAATGTCCAGACACACCTACAAACACTTGGTGTCACCAACGGGATAGAGAAGGCCGACGAGAGAGATGTGTTGAAGGAGTGATATCTGTAGCAATGAACTTCAAGGGTTCGGAACGCTGAAGAAGTCCATCGGTGAGGTGTCTTTTCCAGAGTATCACGCGGCATTCTGCAAAAATGTCCACGCCATCTGCATCCTTTGATAACGGTTGCAGTGATGAACATTCTGTTTACCTCCTTAATTCTTCATTTGTGATTTTCTTTGGCCAAAACATTAGCAGGATTCTCCTTAAATTTTTTTTTTTTTTTGGAAAAACCTCTAAGTACAATTACTGTTGTCATTTTCTAACAGTAATCGTTGTCATAGCCAGATATGACTGAGCTACCGTATAACAGTAGCCGGTAATCTTGTGTAATAATAATTTCTAAAATGTTACTCTTGTATAATCTTAGTTTTGTCTTCAAACTAAGTACATTTAACTTTCACTTATTGTTCTTCTTTTAGTCCAGACACTGTGGCGGTAATGTCTATCCACAACCTTCTGTTTCATTGGACACAGATGACCTTCCATACGATGTCAAAACTGTCCAGTATTTCTCTCCATGACTCCTGCAATTCCCCCCCTCCCCCCAACATCGCTATATACTCCAGTCTTCTCTTTTTCATTACATGACCATTACTGTCTTTTGTTATTCCCCCAGCAACCCGTAAAGTTCTTGCACTGGTGTTTCTCTTGGCCCGAAGTTTTGCCTTGATATGTTGTATTTAGGACAGTCTCGTTGGACGTAATCTGTTGTCTCAGGTGTCAATCCACATGGCTGATTCGCCAATCTTAAATTTTGTGTACATGTGGCTGCAAAGTTGATTATGCCCTGTTTTAAGGCATAGAATCATGACTGGCTCTGTCTGTCCATGATATGGTAATCATCTTGTGCTGGTTTTGGTAGTTTTCTGATTGATTTGATTATTATCTTCTTCTGTTGATAAGAGAGTGGTACGTCAGGTTGTTCTTCATTAGCTAGTTTATCAGCTCTTTCATTTCCGGTAAGCTAGAACTGAAACCAGCCATACAATTGGCTTAAATAGCAACAGATGAGATGGTTTGGTCATCTGACAAGAATGCCCTTGGCAACAGCTGCCAGGCTGCAGAAATAAAATTAATAAGCCAGAGCACGAAGCTCTGTATGACCATACTCACGCCCCCCCCCCCCCCCCCCCCATGAGGCGGCAACTGGAGGAAAAGAAGACACAAAAACTATCTTACCTTAAACACTCGAGATGAGGTCCAGCAATTAAGTATATAAAATATATGCATTTTAAATACTTTTCCTTCATTAACAACACTAGACGAGACAGGGTTATGAATACCAGCATTAGAGAGAAAGTTGGAATAAGATCATGCCTGGATTATTTTGACAGACAAAGAATGAAGTGGTTCAGTCATCTAGAGAGAATGCAACCAGACCAGACTTCATATGAGACTTTTTACAGCAGAACATCTGGCAGTAAGGTGAGAGGAAGACCAAGAAAGTAATGGATAACTGGTATAGCCGAAACCTAAAAACTAAAATGAATAAATCCATCACTTAAGCCACCCGAGAAGCGTAAGACAAATACAGAAAACCACGACACTGGGCTACAACCTAGTATCAGTAAGATGACAACAGAAAAGAAGAAGAAGAATTACTTTCCCTGAAGCCTGTGATCAAATCAAACAACTATGTTCACAAAATCCACACAAAAGTCTGGCTGGCACAACAACCCTCTTTCAGAGCAAAGACATGCATACAAAGTCATAAACTCATTTCAATATTTACAAACCTCTACATATTTTATTTTTGTCATTTTACATGGATATTTCAAAAAGAAAACTGTGTATCTGAACCAACCGAAATTCTAAAGTCACTACACGAAGACTATGATATAAACTGTACCAAACATTTTAATTTGTTTTGTTTATTTATTCACCAAAAAAAAACCTAATTTCTTAGTTATATTTCACAAACAAAAAAAGTTTCGCTTCATATTCACACCAACTCACAACAATTCATT